ACACAGGCTCTAGGCAGACTCCGCACCCACATAGAGGCCCCTGGAGTCAGTGGAGGTCTGTGTGGGTGTATAGGTCTGGCCATGCAAACCTGCTTGCAGGATCGGGGCCATGTGTGGTAGTGTGCACAAGTTTCCTGGAATGATTATTCTAGAAAGCAAACTCTTTGTTAGGTTGGAGGAGCAGTAATATTTTCATAAACTGAATTGAAGTGGCAAAGAAATCAGAGAGGAACAAAATCAGTGAGTCTCAGCTCCTAAAATAGGTTATTTTGAAATAATCTTGAAACTCTGGTCTTTTTTTCTTGAATTTTTTTCCATACTTCAATTTTATTACTGCAAAACAGATATGTTCCCATTCAGTATTTTTGAATAAATTAGGACATGACTCGTTTTACTCTGCAAGAAGCAGGCATTTGCATTGTGACAATCCTGATCTGCTTTATTATGACTTGTTCGCATTGTTTAAAATTATCGAGCATTCAAATGATAGGTATTCAATTAATGAATTCATGGTGGCAGCAAGGAAAGGAGGAACTGTTTAAGGAAAAGTGTAAAGAAAATATAGACATCTTTGTAATACAGTATGTAAAGAAAATTGCAAAAAGGAGTGTGAATAATGTCAAGACTTAAAAAAAAAGTGAAGTATGAGACACACTAGCCCGTGTAAATCTGCTTAATTGATCAAGTAATCAGTTCTCTTTAGCAAATGCTACCATTCTTTTCAATGAGTATTGTGTAACGATATCGCTTTAGTGAGATATGTGCTCCACATTTTTTCTTCTCAGGGACAAATCCTAGAGAAGGCTGATGTGAACTGTGTGCTTGGGAAACTGTACACCGATATTGCAATGCTGAAGGGTAGAGTGTTCATTCCCAAAATGTGGTAATTAGCTCTCAGCCAGATTTCAACCACTACTGCAAGAGATGGGAGTAGTAGTGAATGCAGCCTATTTCCCTCTCACTCTCCCTGCTCCAAAGTGGGATTGTGGTTCAGTGCCGTGAATAGTCCTGCTTTCCACTCCTGTGGACTGTCTGCATTTTTTTCCTCCCCTCTCCATTTAGCTGATGAGATATTTCATGGAGTTCCTTCCAGTGCTGTGCACATGCCATGCCGAGTCCTGCTGTCCAGTTTTCCTGCAGCTTGGCTACCTGACACTATAAAATGCAATGTTTACACTGCTTTTATCTCCCACTTAAGGAGGACCAGGATTGGGGCTTACTCTCCCACTAACACACTAGTTACACTCAGGAAATTCAAGACAAGGACATGCAAAGCACCTTATTTTTGTTTCTATTCTGTTTAGGTCCAGTAAAGAATGGAGACAACTTTAGATTATTTTTATTATTGAGTTTGGAAAACAACAACAACAACACCCCCCACCACCGTACATAACTAAATTATACTGATTTGGATGTGCATATGTGCTTCCCCCCCCAAAGTTAATTAAGTATTTTAGGAAAAATTGTCAGAGCGCCACCCGCAAGAGTTGGTGGCCGTACTCTGAGGCCACCAAAAAAATTTGTTGTGAGAACCCCTGGGCTAAGAAAACATTCTTAAATTGTTGAGATCCATGCAATGTAGGTGTTGAAAGTAACTAAAATGAAACAATGTAGAGAGAGGCATGGAATAGCATCATGCAGGGTGCAGTTTTTTAAATCATAGCAATTTAAATTAATTTTAATCAATATTAAATCACCTGATATATTTTTAAAATAAACATAAAACATTACTTGTCACTTTTACAAAGCCTCAGGTTACCTTGAAAAAAGGTTAATGCAATTTTAGATTTATAGGAAGTAAATTTAGATTTAAAGGAAGTATTTCTTCACACAACACACAGTCAACCTGTGGAACTCTTTGCCAGAGGATGTTGTGAAGGCCAAGACTATAACAAGGTTCAAAAAAGAACTAGATAAATTCATGGAGGATAGGTCCATCAATGGTATTAGCCAGGATGGGCAGGGATGGTGTCCCTAGCCTCTGTTTGCCAGAAGCTGGGAATGGGCAACAGGGAATGGATCACTTGATGATTACCTGTTCTGTTCATTCCCTCTGGCACACCTGGCATTGGTCACTATCGGAAGACAGGATACTGGGCTAGATGGATCTTTGGCAGGGGTGAAAGTAATATTAAACACTTACTGGTAAGGGGGCCTGGCTCTGGGCCCCCAGAAGGAGTGGGGCCTCTGGCAGAAAGGGCGGGGTTGGGGGGGGTCAGCCTCCCCCAGCCAGCCCATCCGTGCTGTCTGATCCGTGCCGCCTGGGGCTCCGGCGGCGATTTAAAAGGGCCCAGGGTTCCAGCTGATGCTGTGGCAGCGGCATCCAGGAGCCCCGGGCCCTTTTAAATCGCCGGCCCTGGGACAGCTGCCCCTTTTGCCAGGGCCAGCTCCAGGGTTTTTGCTGCCCCAAGCCGCGGGGAAGAAGAAAAAAAAAGAAAAAAGGAAAAAAAAAAAAAAGCGCTGTGATCGTGATTGGTGGCAGCTCCACCACGCCGCTTTCTTCTTCGGCGGGACATTGCCAACACGGTCCTTCCCCCCACGGGGGCCCCCCGCC